AATTGTGAACTTGATCAAGTCATTTAATTTCTCCCACCATCTTATATCTTCTCATATGAGAATGAAATTGCATGTTTTGCCTACATAGAAAGAATTTTTAAAGTAATATTCAAATAAGTTTTTCTTTAATAGTCTCTGAATCTCCTCATGTTATATAACATCTACATAGGTCTCAGTGCCTAAAAATGGTAACTAGATTCCATGGGATTTCTGTTTCATTTTTAAATTAAATTAATATTTTAGAAACATAAAAAAAAAGGTTAAAGTACAAAGCCCAAAAGAGATCTGTGCATTGGTTTCTTATTGCTGCTATAACAAATTTTACCTACTTAGAGTTTAAACAACATAAATTTGTTATCTTGTAGACTAGAGAACTGAAGTCCAAAATGGGTTTGACTGGACTGAAATCAAGACATCAGCTTGGCTGCAATCCTTCTGGAAGCATTAGGAGTGAATCTGTTTCTTGCCTTTTCCAGCTTGTAGAGGCTGCTTGCCATTCTTTGCCTTGCAGCCCTCTTCTACTTTCAAAGCCAGCAATGGCATCTCTCTGACCTCTGCTTCTGTTATCATTTCTCCTTCTTTCTCTCTGACCTTCCTGTCTCCCTCTTAAAAGGACCTTTTTGAGCCCGCCGAGATAATATAGGGTAGTTTCTTCCTCTCAAGATGTTAACTTAATCACAGTGGGAAATTTTTTATTTTTATATCAGTATATCAAAAAATAAAGTAAAAAAAGTCTAGAAAATTATCTAACAACTAGTTACCCAATGACCCTGCAATCCCACTACTAGATATTTCCAATAGAAATATGCATATATGCTCACAAAATTGTAACAAATTTTTAGGGCACTATTATTTATAAAAGAGCCAACTGGGAAAAAAATCTACTAACAGTAGAATGGGTAAATAAATTGAGGTATATTCATAAAATGTGATGTAATATAGCAATAAATGTTAAGTTCCATGGTACTGCTACAAGAGTACAAACATAATGTTGAGTCAAAGAGCCAAAGGCAGAATAACTGTATTATATGATAAAGCTTTAAACCATGCAAAGCTAATTTGTTTTGTTAGAAGTAAGGGTAGTGGTTATTTTTGGAGAGGAGTGAGATAATAAATGAATGGGAAGGAGCATAAGCAAGTATTCAATATTGATTGCAATATTCCATTTTTTAATCTAAAATATGTTTAATTCATGATAATCCATAATTCATATATATATGTACTTTGATTTATGTAATATTCTATATGGATGTTATAGTTCATTGGACATGTTTATAAACAAAAAACCAAGGTTAGTTTAGATTATAAAAGCATAATTTTTTATGTACATAGAAGTATAACCCAAGCATATTCTGGTTATAAGTGATGCACTTAAAAATTAAGAATATCAAAGAGTTGAAGGTAAAAAGATGTTCTAAACTAATTCTAATAAATAAAAGTTGTAGGTTTATTTCTATCAGATAAGATAAAGTTTAAGATCAAAACATTATTAGAAATAACATGGTGCTTCATGAAGAAAAAATGTTCAATTCACCAGGAAATAAAATAAACTTGTATACAGCTAACAGTGTAGTGCCAAAATATATTTTAAAATGAATATAATCACAAAGAAAAATATAAAAATCTGGAATCATTTTAGGACATTTCAGCATATCTCTCTCAAAAACTAGTAGATCAGATTTTAAAAACACAGTTAACCCAGAGACTATTTGAATATAATTAACAAATTTATCTTAAGCATATATTAAACACTGCACCTAGCCAATGATAAACACTTATTATGATAGGCAGAATAATTTTCCCAAAATAATGGTTCCCTCAGACCCTGTGAATATGTTATATCATATGGTAAAAAGAAGGTTGCAAACTAAATTAATATTATAGATGTAATAAAAGAGAGATATATGAATTATTAATTTAGGCACAATCTAATTACATAAGCATTAGAAAAAACTCCACTGAATATAACACCAAGCTAATAGCCAGCAAAGACTCAGGGACCTTAGTCTTACAATTGCATGGTATTGAATTCTGGCAATGGCTTTGTGAACTTGGAAGTGGAAACAAATGTAGCTTCAGAGGTTCCAGAAAGAAATGCAGCCCACTGATATCTAGACTTCAGCTTTGTGAGACTCTGAGTAGAGAACTAGCTGAGCTACACTCTGCCTGGACCTACAAAGTTGGAGATAATAATGGGTGTTGTTTAAGTTTGTGGTAACTTGGATCAGGATAGGAAAATAATATGCTTATTCTTTATAAGAAAACTGGGCATATAATCAAAAATATACAATGTCTGATCCATAAAGCAAATTCCAATGAATTTCAAAGGATTAAATTCATACAGAAATTGTTATCTTACTGTAATGCAAATGAGATATATATTGGTAATGAAATATAAATAAAGCAACTCATATGTTTATAATTTAAGAGAGATAGTTCTAACCAGGGGCCAAAGATAAAGATCACAAAGGAATTTAGGAAAGAGTATAAATGGGCCCTTGTGGGATGTAGATTATACAGCAAAAAGAAGAAAATTTAAAGCTTTAAATGCTTATACTCTAAAGAAACTGCTACAACAGGGATGAATATCAGATGCCTTATGCTGAGTCAAAGAAGCCAGACTCAAAAGCATGCATACTATATAATTTTATTTATATATCAACATTTTGGAAAAAGCCAATAAGGACTGAAAATAAATCAGTGATTGTCAATCATCTCTGAAATCAAAATCTGAGCCATATCATCTCTCTGAGCTTCCGTTTCTTTACCTGTAAAATAGGAATAATTTTACCCACCTCTTAAGGGTGTTGTGAGCACTGAATGCCAAAATATATAAAATGTCTAGAATAAAATAAAATAAAATAAAATAAACTGCTACACAGGTGTGTACCAGTGAACTTTTACAAAGATGTTGATGAAAACACAATGGACAAATTATAAACAACCCAAATGTATGTCAACAGTAGAATAAATGAATGAAGTGTGGTTTATCCATTGCAATGGATTCCTATATAGCAATGGGTCTCAAAATGTAACCCATGAATCCTTGAAGGTCCTGAGACATTTTCAGGGGGTCCACTAGATCAAAACTATTTTCATAATGATACTGAGACATTAATCACCTTTTTCACTGTGTTGACATTTGTTTTCATGGTATACAAGTAATGGTGGGTAAAACTGCTAGTGCATTAAAACATTTCAATTAGCGACCTCAAGCTATACTAGTAGTCATTAGTCATTGAATTCTTTACTACTGCACACTTGCAGTGCAAAGCAAAAAAAAAAAAAAAAAATCCAATTGTATTTAAGAATGTTCCACTTGAAGTTATAAATAATTATTCCATTAAATATCCATCCACATATTAGAACCCTTCTTTTTAATGAACTGTGCAGCAAAACAAAAATATGGCAAAAAACTTTCTCGTGACAGCCAAAATATGATGGTTATCTTAAAAAAAAAAAGAGAGAGAGATATTGAGTTGTCAGCTGAACTAGCCATTTTTTCATGAAAAACTGTTTTAATTGTTATAAATAATTATTCCATTAAATATCCATCCACATATTAGAACCCTTCTTTTTAATGAACTGTGCAGCAAAACAAAAATATGGCAAAAAACTTTCTTGTGACAGCCAAAATATGATGGTTATCTTAAAAAAAAAAAGAGAGAGAGATATTGAGTTGTCAGCTGAACTAGCCATTTTTTCATGAAAAACTGTTTTAATTGAAAAAATGACTAATAGATAAATTATGGTTAGTTATATATGAGTATTTGATAAGAATTTTCCCACAAAAAAATGAACCTGACTTGTTACTTCAAGGAAAACAACTGGTAACATTTGTCGTCAATGATTAATTAAGTCTGTTTTCAAGAAATAAGTTAACTTATTGTGGATATTTTTAAATGAAACATTAAATTTGCATTTAATTTTTTTCTCAGCTTCAATTTAAATAGGGTAAATTTTGATAGATCTAGCTCACAAAATCTCTTTGAAGTTCTCAATAATTGTTTAGACCTAAGACAATAATTGTTTAGACCTAAGTGGACCTAAGACAAGAACTACTGCTATACAGCAATGAAAACCTATGGTCTTTTCAGTACACATATAATGTTGGGTAAAAATAACAAGTATATAAAAACATATAATTCCACTGCATACGATTCTTATATATTGATAATGCAAATGAGAAAAAGGCAGTTCATAGAAATACAAAAAACATGTATCTTCATTAATTACCGAAAAATTATACTACATGAACGTGCTTTTTAAAATTTTTATTATTTGTTTTCTGGTTTAGAAAAAGTATCAATTGTAAATCATCTTTTATATAATTGAGCTTGTAGCTATAATAAATTATAAACAAAATAAGTGATAAATTATGGGCAAAAATGCAAATATGTATTATGTAAACATATGCAATAGTAACCCCCCCCAAAAAATTGAAACTATTCATTTTAATGGAACTTACTGGGATTTTGGAATCTGATAAAACAAAATCACTTCTTATTTGTAGAAATTTTAGTTTTAAGATTTCATATTTAGATCACATCTCTTTCTTCAGTCCTAAATTTCACTAAATACCTCTCTCTCTTTATATACATTTTAAACTATTAGGAAAACAACTTGACAAAAATGTCTTCTAAATGTTCAATTGTTAAAATCAGCAACATTAAATATGTGAGAGTATACTCTCACAACTCATTTCCCAAAGTTTGAATTAATCAATATTTTCATATAGATGTTATATGCAATAGATATAATAAACAGTAATACACATATGAACATGAATAAATAACAAATTAATATATTTATACATACAGTAATTGCTTTTGATTAATAAGTTATAATCAACATGTCATCAATTCATATACATCTATATGTATATATGTATGTACATATTTATACCAAGCTTGGGGATGTGATAAAATGACTTTTAGTGCTCTTTATCTATTAGGTAAAATGTCTATGTCACTAACAATTAATTCCATTTATATTTTTAGGTTAACAGGATTCCATCTGCCACCGCCAGTGACAAGTACCAAATCTGTGTTCTCTCTACGTTTGACCAGTGACTTTGCAGTTAGTGCTCATGGGTTTAAAGTATATTATGAAGGTAAGTGATGATAATATAAAAGGACCACTGCCTGGTCTAACGTAGTCAAACCAAAATTCTCCAGGCTGGAAATGGAAGAATCACCTGGAAGGAAGACACAGTTCATTCTGTTATTTCAAATCCTGTCCTAAGATTTACTTTCTTCTTAGTCACTAGTATAAAATAAAACACTAGAATTAGTGGGCTTTAATAACCATGTGACTAGACATAGAAAAGTCTTTCCTTTAAATCTTTCTAGGAGATGAGACCATAGCATTAAAGATTAACAAAAGGGAATACATGTGAGAGTAACAGTGGAGAATCAAACGTCAGGGACTTCACCCAATTCTCTGTGCTTTGTCTCTTTGTCAGAAAACAAACTAGTTATCTCTGTCTTCTCTGCAAATTAGAGTCAAGAGAAAAAGTCCTATAATAGACAAGAGTTAACATCTTCCATTCTAACTCAACCTTTCCAGTCTCAGAGATCCATAATTCTCTAACACCAAGGAGGAAAACTAAAGAGCTCTTGAAACTGAAGGGTTTTATCAGGAAGTTTGGTACAAATTCATTTGGCATCAAAACTTGACCTGAACTTATTGGAGACCATTTATAATCTTTATTTATCCCATGTATATGGGAATTCATGTGTTCACTACAGAAATATTGTTTGATAATGTAGTGGTAATACAGGCTATGCTGAGGGTACTAAAAAACATACAAAATCTGCATGTTTTTCCTTTTTAAAGTGTGAAAAATCTCTATGGCAAAACAATCTATTCCTGAGGGTTTAAGATAGAGGCCATGGACTTATAGTTTCTTCTCTATGTGGCTTGACAATAAAATTTTCACCCAGTTTAGGTAAGAGCCCCTTCCTTAAAATAGGAATAGTGTATCAGATTTCAACTCCCCTCCCTAGACCATATTACCAGAATGCATCACACTAGATCTATTATAATGTATTATAATAGCTAATGTAATAAGAGATACACAAATATAGTAGCAGGGCAGTTACTTCTTAAAGCACATAATCACACAAAATATAATATGTTTAAACAGCATACTAGAAAATAATCACATAAAATAGAATTGCTTTCGTATAAAGGTTAACAGTCTGCATGTGGAGAAAGTCTGAAACTAAACATTTCATCTAGTGCTATCTTTCTCACTAGAAAATAAAAATATCCTCTAGGAAACAATTGAGTAAAATTATTTTCTCCTTTTTATAAATTTAATAATGCCATACTACAGCAGTTTTGAGCACTATTTTCTACCTAATACATTTCTGAACTGTCTTTCATCTAGCAAGAGGGGATGCATTCTAAGACTTATTTTCCTCCATTGTACTAGTAATAATAATAATTTTAAGGTGTTTTCACAATAGTTGAATATTTTTATCTTGGCAACTTAATTCATAGTTTAAAAGACTACAAACACAAAGGTTTAATATTAAGTAGTATAGTTTTGGCAACATTGAAGGTATTAGTAATTTAATAATTTTCCATTAAAGGTTCCTTAAAAAGCCTGTCTCTGTGCATCAAAACATAAAAATAGTTTAAGTTAGTGTATTCTTTCAGTAGGTGCTAAGTATTCTGAAAATGTGGTAACTTAGAAGATGAATTATGATGTTGCCATGATTTCTGATTTGACTGTCAAATTTTATGAAATATACCAAAAAATATTTTCATAGGTCTCCATTGTTTCTACATATATAACATTAATTTTCTGCCTGACTTTTCTGCTTCAGAGAAATGGACTTATATACTTTCATGACATTTAAATGTATGTGTGAGAGAGCCTGACTTAAAATATAAGGCACTAAGTATCCAGATAGTATTGAGGGATTGACTATCATGCTACAAAACATCTTCAGATATTAATTTGTGATGGGTATCTTTTACCATGTTATTAGTTTTATGTTGTTACCATAACAAATTGCCACAAATTTAGCAGATTAAAACAACAGAAATATATTATCTGACAGTTCTGTAGATGAGAAGTCCTGGAGGGGCCTCTACTAGTTTCTTACTCAAAGCCTTAAAAGGCTAAAATAAACATGACCTCTGGCTGGGCTCTTAGCAGACACTGGAAGGAATTTACTGCCCACAGCTCCAAGAGGTCTCTCTTTTCCCTGCACTTGGGCCCTATATCTGAGAGTCAACAACTAGAACACTGAGTCCCTCTCGGACTTGAGATCTCTGTGCTTTCCTCTTCTGATACATTTCTCTACTATCTTCTTCCCTGGCCACATCTCTGACTTCGGCTGGAGAAATTTCTTGGCTTTTAAGGGCCTATGTGATTACATTGGGCCCACCTGGACAATCAAGGCAAATCTCCCTATGTTAAAGTCCTCGAACTTAATTATATCTGCGAAGTCCTTCTTGCCATGTAACACGACATGTTCAGTTTCCAGAGATTTTTTTATTTTTTGGTACGAGTGACAGCTGCAGGGAGGAGATAGGCCTCATTTGTCCTACTACACCATGTACAACACTCTATAATATTTTACAGAGGGGTAGCTACAATCATTTATTTATTTAACTATAGCCAGGGAAACTGTCAAAGATAACTGGTATATTGTGGAGTCCGGGAAACTTAGCTGATATTTGAAAGCCTGTGCTTCAGCCATGCTGTATTATGGATCCAGGTCATCATCTACAATTACCTCAAACTATAACTCTGGACTCCACCCATGCTAAAATAAAATTAATCTACTAATCTGAACATTTCCTCTCCAATTATGTTTGCACGCTATTTTTTTCAAGATGATCCTAATGGCTGAATTTCGTTAATTTTCATTTCATCTCTTTATATATAATCATTTATTATTTTCTTCATCTTTTAAACTTTCCTAGAACTTGGTCCTTTGGATTAGAATTCATGAGATCTCTAATTATTAGTGATATCTGTTTATTTATCTGTGTTTCTCAAACTGCCAACACTGAACCACGTGCACCATAATCATCTGGAGAATGTGTTAATATGTGAAGTTCTTGGCTTCGATTACATGTCCTGGATCAGACTCTGGAGTGAAGCCCTAAAATACACATTGTAATTCCAATTGCAAATCCAGTGTAGAATAATTGATAAATCTGTCAGTCTGTGATCTTCACAGAACTTCTCTGTTGTCACAAACTTCTATTGCCTTGGGTCAGCCCATTTATTTTAAAACTATGGAGGGTGATGTCCCTGTTTCACGAATTTAAGAGCTCTTAACCATTCGTTGAAAATGCTTTTCTTTTAAACTTCAACTTTAGAAGTTGAAAGTTGTTAAATTTCTGTGGAAAAATTTCCACATTAGTATCTAGCTGCATATTTCTTTATTTTTCCTCATTATTGTTTACCATATACTTTACTTCCTTGTCACAGTTTTCTAAAGTTTAATTCATAGGGCTTTGGTTTCATATATTTGCTAGTGTTAATAAAACAAGTGAGTAAATCTCTGTTCTGTGCAACTATAAATTTGAGAAACACTAAATATATTAAGTTAAATATTCATACAACTATTTTTCAAAATTTGGTCAGGATAAAACTGGTAACATCTGTGCTCTAAGAAGAATATGGTAGGAAATGTACTATGTCTTTCTAGATTTGCCAAACAGAAATCAAAATATATTCCAGTGTCTGCTAAGTTATTTTGTATAATTGAGTTCTTTTATATTTTATTTTAAGATGCATAATCATTCTTATAGGTGAAAGAGCATATAGTTGTATACCATGGAATATCTTACCATTTTAGAATAATTTATTATGAAAACAAAGTAATTTAATCCTTACATATAGATTATATAGCTATTATATATAGTTATTAAATATTCTTTTTTTATAAAGTGGTAATTTAATGTTTGGAAAATTTCAATGAGTAATTTTAGCATATATCAGTGAGCCAATTCAATTATAAGAAACAGAAAAAATAAGAATATAGTCTTGAAAACCACTTCAAATACCAAGTAGTTATTATGCCATAATGATTATTGATGTGTATGACTAAATAATTAAGAAATTATAGGGGGAAAAAGGCTCATCTTAAGCAAATATGCTGGTAAAACTTTTTCACATTTTTTTCAGAAATATAAAAATTTGGCTAATAACATTATTATTGCTAGGTATCATTTATTGAGTATTTCTTTGTACCAATCATAGTGCTAAACATTTTATATGGATTTTCTCCATTTTTCACCCTAAAAAATTAAGTGAAAAATTGTAATGAGCAAGCAAGCACTAATTTTAATTTTAAAAAATTTTAAATGTCCTACAGATGTAAACTGTATATGTTTTAGAGGCATTTTATATCTAACTATAAACTATAATTCCATTTATAGTTAAAGTGATATGACCACTAATTAGAATTGAGTAGAAAAGCATTATAAAAATAATTACTGATAGTGTTCTGTATTAAAATATTATATAACATAAAAGCTGATTATTCCTGTATATGTTGTGTATTCTTACATATTATTTTTTTTAAATACTTGCTGTACAAAAGAATATTTCTACTATTTGCTATTCTATTTAGCTATTTGTCACACATATTTATTAAAAGTTTATCCTTGAGAACGTCAAAAGACTTTAATGATTTAACTTTAAGGTTTATTTTCAATTCCTAAGCTTTAAAAATTTAAACCTCAGTATCATGAAATTTAATGGAGAGTTTACAATTTAGAATCTTTGACAAGATGGTTGAATTGTGGCAAGAGAAATTTATAATAAAATTATATGCCTAGTTTGCTGGCAGTGTTAAGTTCATAAAAGAAGAAAATGGATCTTCATCTTAAATACTTTTAAAAATAAATAAGAAATACCATATTTTAAAATGCACAAAAAAGGAGATGTCAGACATGTTAGGAAATTTTTTATTCTTGATCATATTCAAATCTTTTGGCTTTAGGGCTCCATAGAGTCAGCCTACTTAGCTATTGGAACTTCCTAACTGTAAAGTGACCTAGCAAAGAGTAACAGTGTCTGAGTGTCTTCTCTCTCATTTAAACAGTTGTGAGTGTTCAAAATTCTAATTCAGAGAATGA